AAGTCCTGGACCTGGTGGTTTGCTTTCTCACCTTCTCTCTCTCTGTCCCTCTCTGATCAAACTAAAAATAAATAAATAAATAAAGTTAAAAAAAAAAAAAAGATGCATATAGTTTCACAATTTTTTTTTTTTTGCACCAAAATAAACTCAAACTTGGATCTCATTGTTCACAAACTCTTTGAAGTGTATACAGTGTGGCATCATTATTCCATCGTTCCATTTTACAGATGAGGCACATCGATTGTGGGGTCTCTGATCACCTCACTCCAGGCCAGAGTAATCTCCTTACAAGGTCTGTGATTGTTGAGATCAGTCACAGAGCTGTTGGGTTCTGAAGGTTGAGAAAAAGGCCAGGAGAAACCAGGCAGGCAGGGTCTCTAGCCTGGCCAGCCAAGGCCCTGGCACAAGGTGACACATGATGGATACTGCTGAGAATGCATGGGTAAATAAATGCTTCTGAGTCCCTCTTACCTCTGTTGGAGCTCCAGGCAGGACTTTAGTATGTAAAAGTAAAGCTTGTAGGCCACAGTCCTAGGGAAGATACACTTACTAGTGAATTTTCAGTGCAGGGCTCATGTGGGCACAGGGAGAGAAGGGGAGGGGAGGGGGAGGAGGTGACCTAACAGAGCTGGAACCATGGCTGGATCACCAGACACACTGGGCCCTGCTCATGCAGAAGTCCTGTATCTGCAGTTCTTGGACCACCTGGATACCGGGCAGAACTCCACATAAAGGATTTCTCCAGACAGAAGATACAAAGTTCTCATCAGATCGTCAAGGAACACGTGACTTACATGTTCTTGCACACCATACACATAAAGTTATGCAGCTGGTCTAAGATACCACCTGAGTCTCTGCAGACACAGGCAATTTCAGTCATAAGGAATCTCAGCTTTATTTCTTTTCTTTTCTTTTCTTTTCTTTTCTTTTTTTTTTTTTTTTTTTTTGGGGAGGAAGTTTGTTTTTTTTTTTTTTGGGAGAGAGTTTGCTATAGGGCACATGCACTTGCCAGAGAGATAGAAAATGAGAAATCACCCCCCGCCCCCCACACCCACCGGGGATGGCTATGCTGCAATTCCTTCTCCTCCATTCTCCTTTCAGGATTTTGGGCATGCATGCACACACACCCAGCTTGGGTATTAAGTTGCCAGGTCTGGAACTTGAACCATGTTTGGCTCTATGGGAGTCCAGCAACATAACCATTATGCCATCTTGTGGTCCCAGCTTTATCTATTTCAACTCTTCATTTTATACTCAAGCATATAGAAAGACAGAAACAGCAGATGATTTGCTCAAGGCCATATGGAAGGTTCTGTAGAAGAGTTAAGATATGAATCTGGGATTTGGGAGGGGTATTGTCATTTTAAGCTTCTTTCATATGAGAAAGATAAGCAGGCTCTCACACCAGGATCCTCCCCCATCCCTCAACCATAAGCCTCCCCAGCCGTCAGGATCGTGGATGTGCTTGATGGGTGTGTGCAGGTTAATCAAGAGCTGAACCTGTGATCTGCCATATGGATCCAGCACCACTTGAGCAGTGTTACCACTGTTCTAGCCCAGTGGGGTGTTTTTTTTTTTATCCCCCAAGGTTTTTATTATAGGGTGCATGTGCATGCCAGAGTGAAACAGACAGGGACAATGAGAGGGAAAGTAAAAAATCACCTCCCAGGGGATTGGCCACACCACAATCCCTCTCTTCCATTTTCCTCCTGGGATTTCAGGCACACACACATACATGCCCAGTGTGATTTTTCAAGCCACCAGGTCCAGGACTTGAACCAATGTTGATCATGTGAGAGTCTAGCATTGTAACCACTATGCCACCTGCTGGTTGTAGAGTGTTCCTTCTAATACATCAAGGATTTAGGTTGGTTTATTTAGTTGTTATTATTATTATTATTTAATTTGTTTTAGGGCACATGCGTGCACCAGAGAGGGAAAGTGAGAAAGCAAGCTGCCAGGTCCAAGACTCAAACCATGGTCTGGCATGAAGTCCAGAGCCTTAGCCACCATGCCACCTGCTGGCCCTGGTTGGTTTGTTTTTTCAGACTTGTTTTCTTTGTTCATGATAGTGTGGAAGTGCATGTGAGACAGAGAGGAGCACCTTCCACAGGCTCTGGTAAGCCATGCTCCCCTTCCTCCAGTCCTCTAGCCTATGAGACCTGAGGGACCCACATGTGTGCCTGCCTACTTCAGAAGCCATCAAGGGTTCTTAATTTGGAGTCCTCAGTTGGGCATCAGGATCTTTGAACCTGCTGGATGGCATGCAAAATTGGGAAAATATGCATTTTTCTATGGGAAGGAGTAGGTGCTTTCATCAGACTCTCTGGGGGGTCTCTGCCCCAAATAAGATTAAAGACCACTGCAATTGTGAATGTCGGTCCTGAGCTTTGCTTTCCCTGCAAGGCAGGGAGAACTCATGGGCAGAGCTGCCCCTGTTCTGAGGCACCTGCTCTTTGATTGGGGTAGGGGTGTACATTTGTGGGTTGGTGTGCAATCCTGCACCACCCACCCCTCCCAGCATGCTGATCCTAGCACGCTGATCTCTGACTGAGCTTTTCCCAGTAACAGGCTAAGGGTGAGACAGTGTATATTGTGACAGAACTGGGTGTGCTGAACAGGATGGTTACAGAAACTTCTTGACATCAGCCAAAATGTCAAAGCTGAGACTCTGGGCATGTTCAAAACAGTTTCTTCCAAGATGGGCCCAGTCCCTTGGGAGATGGAGGGAGCAGGCAAGCCAGCGAGCACTCAGTGAAATGTCGTCTTAATTTGGAAAGCACAGAGGGACATTTTTTATCAATAGTCAGCCAATCTCCAGCACCAGAAGCACAACGCAGTGCTCACTCAGAGCCTGGGGCAGCTCGGAGACTGACAGACAGGCCCTCGTCTGTCACCCAGCTTCAGCTTGGCAGCTCACTGACCCTCCCTCTCCTCTGGCTGAAACAAGAGTGGGTTGGCAACCACTACCCCTGGGATCTGGAGAGAACCAAATCCCAAAAGAAGACAGGAGGAGGGAGGAGGGAGTCAGCACAGGCTCAGCCTGACACACGGTATGTACCTAGAAAATGTGACCGCATTTCTGGCTCTTACTAAGTATTGGGTTCAACAGTGGGGAGGGGAAGGGGCAGAGACTAATCAGTATCAGTCATTCAACAACCATTTTGGTTTTGGGAACCAGCAGTTAGCGTAATGGCTATGTCGCTGGACTCCCACGTAGTCGACCGCGGTTCGTGTCCCGGACCCGGTGGCTTAAAACTCACGCCGAGTGCGTGTGCGTGCGTGCCCAAGATCCCGAGAGGAGAATGGAGGAGAAGGGATTGCAGCGTGACCATCCCCCCTGGGGGGTGATTTCTCGCTTTCTGTCTCTATGTCTCTCTCTGTCTGTCTGGCGAGTGCACGCGCCCTACAGTGAAAATCTCTCCAAAAAAAAAA